CGGTGGCTCAAGCCTGTAATCCCAGCACTTTGGGAGGCCGAGGTGGGTGGATCACAAGGTCGAGAGATCGAGACCGACCTGGTCAACATGGTGAAACCCCGTCTCTACTAAAAATACAAAAATTAGCTGGGCATGGTGGCACGTGCCTGTAATCCCAGCTACTCAGGAGGCTGAGGCAGGAGAATTGCCTGAACCCAGGAGGCGGAGGTTGCGGTGAGCCGAGATCGCGCCATTGCACTCCAGCCTGGGTAACAAGAGTGAAACTCTGTCTCAAAAAAAAAAAAAAAAAAAAATACACATATCAACTCGAGTGGATATTCTCTTTAAAAGGGATACCCTAGTTCCACATCCCAGGTGATGTTGCCCTGGGCTAGGAGCTCACCATGGTCTCCAATGACATTACCCTAGCTGCCTTAATCCATTTGTGTTGCTATAAAGGAATACTCGAGGCTGAGCAATTTATAAAGAAAAGACGTTTATTTGGTTCACAGCTTTGCAGGTTGAACAAGAAGCATGGCACCTGTATCTGCTTGGCTTTTGGTGAGGGCTTCAAACTGCTTCCACTCATGGTAGAAAGCAAAGGGGAGCTGGAGTGCAGAGATCACTTGGCAAGAGCAGAAGGAAAAGAGAGAGTGGGGAGGTGCCAGGCTTTTTTTTAACAATCAGCTCTCTGGGAACTCTGGCAGGAACTCACCTAGGGAGAAGTGATTCATCACCATAAGGACAGCGCTAAGCCCTTCCTGAGGATCAGCTCGCTTGACTCAAACACCTCCCATTAGTCCCCCACCTCCAACACTGGGATCAAATTTCAGCATGAGATTGGGCGTGGTAGCAGATGCCTGTAGTCTCAGCTATTTGGGAGGCTGAGGCAGGAGAATCGCTTGAACCTGGGAGGCGGAGGTTGCAATGAGCCAAGATTGTGCCGCTGCACTCCAGCCTGGGTGACAGAGCAAGATGCCGTCTCAAATAACTCAGGGGAAATAACTCAGAAGCAACTCAAGGGAAAGATGAAAATTCCACTCTGTTTCAGGGCTGCCTAGTTGAAGCTTTCAGAAATATACTAATGAAGACTCTTTGAAGGGGTGAGCTCTCCTGGGTGTGTATTTTATTGCTCAGTCTGCCCCTGACATTAGGAGGAAGCTACAAAAGGAAGAAATGGGACCTCAAATTCCAATGAGCCAACTCTTTTTTTTTTTTTTTTTTTTTTTGAGACGGAGTTTTGCTCTTGTTACCCAGGCTGGAGTGCAATGGCGCGATCTCGGCTCACCGCAACCTCCGCCTCCTGGGTTCAGGCAATTCTCCTGCCTCAGCCTCCTGAGTAGCTGGGATTACAGGCACACGCCACCATGCCCAGCTAATTTTTTCTATTTTTAGTAGAGACGGGGTTTCACCATGTTGACCAGGATGGTCTCGATCTCTCGACCTTGTGATCCACCCGCCTCGGCCTCCCAAAGTGCTGGGATTACAGGCTTGAGCCACCGCGCCCGGCAATGAGCCAACTCTTAAGGAGTTTACAGCAATAGGGATAGAGCAGTTAATAAGGCAGTGGTCCCAATAGTTGCTAATCCTTATACAATATTGACCCAAGTTCCTGAAGATGTTAATTGGTTCACGGTATTCGACTCATAGGTTGTTTTCTTTTGTATACCTTTACACCTGGACTTCCATATATTTTTGCATTTGAATGGACGGATCCACACATTCCTGCTACATCTCAGTTTACCTGGACTGTCCTCCCCTAAGGTTTTAGGGACGGTCCCCATCTCTTTGGGAATGCATTGGCAAAAGAATTAAGGGAACTACAATTAACTATTGAATTCCTCCTACAATATGTGGATGACCTATTGATATTCAGCCCTACTAGAGAAGACTCTGATAGAAATACAGTTCAGGCCCTTAACATCACTGTGCTGACTTCCATCCCTATGCATTGGATTGGCCTCTTTTTGAAGGTCACATGCATGGATTCATGTGGTGTGCACTGCTTTTTGTCCAGGGTTTTTCACTTGATATCTTGTTTGTGAGATTGATAGCACAAGGATTAATTTTTATCTTGAGATTCTTGATGCAGTTGTTCCTTGGTTTATACAGATTCCCTTTACCTCACTTGCACCCTCAAAAATCATAGGTCCAAAATAGCAGAACACCCAACATTTTCTTTTCTTTTCTTTTTTAAAGACGATGTTTCACCATGTTGGTCAGGCTGGTCTTGAACTCCCAACCTCAGGTGATCTGCCCGCCTTAGCCTCCAAAGTGCTTGGATTACAGGCATGAGCCACCACACCCAGCCACCCAACATTTTCTGGAAAAAAAAAAAAAAAAGAAAAGAAAAAAAAAACAGAGCAGAAAGTCGGGCATCAGTCAATTTAGATCCATGCTTTTTATTCCTCCCTGAGCACCTGGAGAACTTTTAGAACTCCTCATGTCCAGGCTTCATCCCAGAATTTTGTTACATTTGGCCCATAGTCAGGGCATCCCCAGGTGGTTCTTTTGTTCAGAAAAGTTGAGACACACTGACTTAAGTTAATTATAAAATAACTGCTGGTATGAAATGTCTCTTTCTCAGGGTCCCATGGCTGTAAAGGGGGAAGGGCTTGCCCCTGAACAGTGTTGGATTCTGTAGGATGGAGATTGCGAGGAATAAACGTTACATAGATGGTGATCATGACCCTCTATAGACTCTTGCCCCAGGGATGTTTCTTGAGCTCTTGGTTTGATTTACAGTTTACAGGTCAACATTTTCTTTGCATGGAAGGGAGCAGCCTCATTCTGGGCTCCTGCTCTTGTCTTGAACACCAGACTGAATATAGAGCTTCATTTTTATCTTTATCCAAATATTGCTGTCCTATTTCTCCATGATCAGGGTGTCTTCTTCCCAAATCAGAACTGAGCTACCTGATGGAAAATGAGCAAGATTATTGTGTGATAAAGAGACACCTCTCCTAAAGTTCCTGTCCAGGCAGGTGACCAGGAGCTGGGCAGGTGGGAGACCCTGAACTCCACAGATCAGTTGGGGACCTCTTTGGGAAGTGGGAAGCCTCTTGTTGTGACCTCCCTGGGGGCTTGGGATCCATACAGCCCTTTAACCATCCTCTTTTTTTTTTTTTTGAGACGGAGTTTCGCTCTTGTTACCCAGGCTGGAGTGCAATGGCGCGATCTCGGCTCACCGCAACCTGCGCTTCCTGGGTTCAGGCGATTGTCCTGCCTCAGCCTCCCGAGTAGCTGGGATTATAGGCACGCACCACTATGCCCAGCTAATTTTTAAAAAATTTTTAGTAGAGACGAGGTTTCACCATGTTGACCAGGATGGTCTCGATCTCTCGACCTCGTGATCCACCCGCCTCGGCCTCCCAAAGTGCTGGGATTACAGGCTTGAGTCACCGTGCCCAGCTGTTTTCTATTTCTTGACAAAACTTTGCTAGGTTTATCAATTTCATTGATCTCAAGCTTCTAGTTTCATTGATTTTCTGTAAGTGTTTTCTGCTTGTTTCATTGATTTCTATTTTGATTTTTAGTACATCCTTTTTCTGAATCCTTTTGTTTCTTTTCTTTTTCTGATTTCTTAATGTGGAAACTAAGACCCATGATTGAGACCCTTCAGTAGATCTCTAGAAAGTATTCACCTTGCATACTGCAACTTTGTACCTGTTCAATATCTCCCCAGTTCTCCTCCCAGACCTGGAACCCACCATTCTGCTCTCTGCCTCTATGAGCTTGACTGTTTAAGATACCGCATATAAGTGGGATCATACAGTATTTGATCTTCTGTGACTGGGTCGTTTAAATTAGCATAATGCCCCCTGGGTTCATCCATATTGTTTCACATGGCAGGATTTCCCCTTTTTTAAAGGCTGAACAATGTGTCATTTTATATTTATCCAGAGCAAATGTTTTTTAAATTGATCAGGTTTTTGTCCCCTTTGTGCTTCGGTATCATGTATAAGAATTCTTCACCTCATCCTTGGGCCTGACAATTTCCTCATAATGCTTTTACGGTTTTGAGGTAGGAGGCGAGACTCAACTCCAGAGGTAGGGTGAGACATTAGACCAAATTGAGGACTAGCTAAAACAGGGATGAAGTGGAAGCAGCCTTCCATGAGACACACCCACCAGTGTGCCATGTCGGTTTACATTTCCGTGGCAACACCAAATGGGGCAAAGTATTATGTAAAAATTTAAACACTATTCTGAGGCTCCTATTGAATCAGTCAACTTATTTTGTGTTTTGACAAATATCAGAGTCTGCAAAGAAGTATCTCAGTCCCTCCCCCAGCAGTGTATTGTGATTATGTTGCCAATAATACAGAATATTAATAATAACAGCAACAGCTTTTATGTTCTTGTCGGTATGTTCCAGGCCCAGTGCTAAGCAGTTCTTAGTTACTTCCCACCAAACAAGTGGCTTTGTCTCATTTATTTACTGAAATTTAAAGAGTCCAGTTCTCAAATGTTTGGAGCATCCACTTTTCCTGGACATCTTAAGCAGAATTCAAGGCCCCACCCCCAGAGTACATGCTCCTGTCTCAGTGGGATCTGGAGTGGGGACTGACAACTTGCATTTGTAACAAATTCCCAGGTAATGCTGATGTCATCTGAAAATTACTGATAGGGGAAATTTTAATATTATCAATATTAAGTAATTACCATCACGTTTCTTAGGAATCTCCATCTCAAGGCTCAGAGAGATGAAGTGCTGGTGCAGGGGTACAGAGGGAGGAAAGTCAAGGTGTGGGTCACTTGGTAGCGACCTTTGAGAGTGGGTGATTGCCTCAGGTCATTTCCACGGAAATCTGTGTGCCTCTCCTTTAAGAGGAAGATAAGCCACTCCCTCTCTTGGGAACCTTGGGAAGCAGGTTCACCGAGGACAGAAAGTGCGCTCCAGGTACCACCCGGATTCCGTCAAACTACATTACCCAGAAGGCAGTGCTACAAGGGACGGAAGCCGGCGCCAGGCCGTAGACGAAAGGTGCAGAGGGGCGTTTGCCGTAGAGGCGTGGGCGGGACTTCCGGCGTCGAGTCTGCAGACCACGTTCGGTCGTGGCTGCAGTCGTTACCGACACTACACTGGCTAGGACGCCGGACAAGCGCCACTTTTCCAGGCCGAGTAGAGACGGACAGTGAGAAGGATAGGACTCATAAACTTTTATGTCAGCCGCGATCCCATCCCCACAAGTGTCTGCAAAACGCTTCCTGGGGCCTCGGTGCCAGCGCTGTGTCTCCACGGCGCGCGGAGGCGGCGCGGCGAACCTTATACGCATTTTACACGGCGGCAGGGACTGATGTCCCTCGCAGCCCAGAGCCGGAGCCAGGGGTCGGCCGGCGGACCGGCTTCCTGCCCTCCTCTCAAGGCCTCACTCCGCCCCCTGGGCTCATGGCGGCGCCCGCGTTGGTGAGTGGAGGGTTCTGCAGCCCGCGCGAGCTCAGGTCACCGCCCGCACCGTCCCATCCGCTGTAATACGGGGGAATCCTGGGACTCTGCGCTTCCTCGTTTTGATGCCCTAGGACAGGCGTCCCCAAACTACGCATGCGGCCCCCTGAGGCCATTTATCCGGCCCCCCGCCGCACTTCAGGAAGGGGCACCTCTTTCATTGGTGGTCAGTGAGAGGAGCACAGTATGCGGCGGCCCTCCAACGGTCTGAGGGACAGTGAACTGGCCCCCTGTGTAAAAAGTTTGGGGACGCCTGCCTTAGGATCTGGAGATCCCAAAAGAGGATGGGGTGAGGGGGCAGGGCTAATCACTTCAGCCCAGGGGCCTGAATCCAGGACTGGGGTTTTAAGAAGTCCCTGTTTCTGGCTCTAACCTTGAGCTGTCGCTTGGCTGCCCTCGATCTCTATTCCCTCGGATCTAAAATGCGAGTCTCAGTAATTTTCTCTATTGAGGGAACTGGAGCGGGTACCCTTGTGACTGACGTGAGTCCTATCCTTCAGTGCTCGGAGAGCATCACTCTGGGTGCCGTTTTTGGGGAAGGACTCGCCAGATCCTGCTATTGTTTTAGGGTATCACTCCAGGGCGAGTCTGGCTCTACCAAAAGCTAGGAGAGGGAATGAGAGCCTAGAGGGCAAGAGGTGAGGCGGGAGCAGCATTTTTGGCATTTTTGAGTAGAAAGATTATCATTGTCTTGTATCATTTTCCAGTGGCTTCCAAAATAGGAGGCTTTTCTCTCCCACGTCCTTATATTCTGTCAAAGGCACCATCTGCCTCCACAGAGCTCAGTGGTTCTCAGGAGATGCTCAGTGGTTCAGGGTCTCTGGACCCTTTGCTGATAACCAAGAAATGGGCTCTAATTTCATCTAATAGCTCCACAGCCACCTGTCACCTCTGTTTGGCTTCCCAGGCATTAGTATCATTTGAAGACGTGGTTGTGACCTTCACTGGAGAAGAATGGGGGCACCTGGACCTGGCTCAGAGGACCCTGTACCAGGAGGTGATGCTGGAGACCTGCAGGCTCCTGATCTCACTCGGTAAGACCTCATTACCCTCCCATGTAGGGGACCCACAGCCTCTTTGAATTCATCCTTTCTAGGCATGGCTAGTCCAGAAGCCTCAGGACCCAACTTTCTCTGATCCCTGCAGCCTCAGCACATTGTGGTCTGACCTCCTCTTGCTGGGTTTCCCTGTGTGTCCATCAGAGATTATTGTGTAAAGAACATAGTCCTTCTCAACACTTTTATCCCGGTGTCTAGCACAGCTGACCTCAGTCTGACATCCTTATCCCAGATTTCCATAAGAGGTAATTGGCCCAGCTTAGTTGAGTCAGATGTCCTCACAGCCCAATTAGCAGGACCTGTGAATAATGGAAGGTTCTGCAAGCACGGGGTGATTGACACAGGCACTAAGAAGGTGTTTGTTACCAGTACTGCTGGTATCTTTCTAAGTAACAGTCTCCGCTGAAAGGTTTCTTTGGCCCCTGGCACCTGTACAGTTAACCCTTATTTCCTACGGCCTATGCCTTGCTCCTCTGCTGCTACAGGAGATGATTATATAGAGGCAGCTTAGACACATTATCAAATGGCATGGATATATGCTAAGAAAGCTGTTCTTTTTTTCTTTTCTCTTTCCTGTCTCTTGAATGTTGAGTGTTGGCTTAGAGCTGAGTCTAACACTCCTGTAGCTGTTGGCTAATTTCTTCCTCAGTAGAAAGAGTAGCCTCAAACTCCCAGCCTTGAGCAGGCAGCATGAACTTGCTGGGACCTAATATCATTTTGATTTTGCCTTTTTATTTTTTTGAGACAGATTCTCGCTGTCACCCAGGCTAGATAGAATGCAGAGTGGTGCAATCTCGGCTCACTGCAACCTCCACCTCCCAGACTGAAGCAATTCTTATGCCTCAGCCTCCTGAGTAGTTGGGACTACAGGCATGTACCACCACACCCAGCTAATTTTTTGTATTTTTAGTAGAGATGGGTTTCACCTTGTTAGCCAGGATGGTCTGAATCTCCTGACATTCTGATCCACCCACCTCGGCCTGCCAAAGTGCTGGAATTACAGGCTTGTGCCACGGTGCACAGCCTGATTTTGCCATTTTTATAGTAACCTGTCACAGCAAGTTAACTAATATTTGTAAAGTGCTTAGAGTAGAACTGGAAACATAGCAAGTGTTCCACATGTGTTTGTTATATTTAACATATGAATAAATACCAAATGCTCTCCCACCTAAACCTTTAATGGACAGTTTTCCCAGAAGTTGGTCTAAGTAGGAACCAGAAGTTGGTCTGAGTAGGAATTAATGGAGGCCCAAGGTCTGGCTTCTTCCGGGTGTTCAGATGGTTACGTTCGACAGGGCTCTCCCAGCCCTGCGTCCTCACAAGGAATCAGTCATTAAAGAAGTAAACACGGTGTTCTTTTATGACAACTGTGATTAGCAGTCAAAAGGAGATGTATGGGGAACAGCATTCCAGGAGGAGGGACCAACACGAGCCATGTCCCTATGGGAGGAGGCAGGCCTGATTCCCCTTTAACACTGCTCATTACCCAGCTCAGCACCAATGGGAGAACGTTTGCTGGGTGTGCATGTGGCATTTTAGTGTGTGTAATCCTACGGTGAACATTTGCAAAGTGACAGCTGGATGCATGCCGGGACAAGATTTTCCAGTTGATGCTTCTGGGTCCCGGCGCCTCAGTCATTGACTTCTCTCCAGAGGCTTCTGTCTTTTAGCCTTCACAGTTGGCAAAATGTGTGTGACCGCATGTGGAAGAAGACCACCTCATGCCAGTTTCACCCTGAAAATAATTTATTACTTCAGCTAATGAGAAGCCCTGAGGTGCTGCTGGCTCCTGGTTTGGTCAGTGCCAACCCCATTCACTCTGTCTGCTTTCTCTCCTTGGCCTAGGGTCCTGGCCAGTACCCCTGCAGGGCAGCAGGCCTCCATGTTCGGCTTCGATCCCTGGCCTGCCACACACAACTGATGATCAGTAGATGCCATTCATCAGGCGATTTAGTCCTGTGTTTTTCAACCATCGTGGGCACCAAAATCACCTGGGGAACTTTAAAAACTAACAGTACTCAATCCTTCTGCTCAGAGATTTGGTTTAATTTGTTCTGTTTTTGGAACTGGGTGTTGCTAGGTCATTTTGATGCACAGGGTGGTTGAATCCTACTGACTTAGGTTAATTAGAAAATACTTTTGGTGAGGTATAGGAGGGCCCTTTCTGGGGTTTCACTGCAGTGTGTTAAAGTATGTATCTCCTTTACACCTCAGAATTTTCTGTCTTTACCTATTTACCATACTGTATTTATTTCTTCATGTACAGGGCATCCTGTTCCCAAACCAGAGCTGATCTACCTGCTGGAACATGGGCAGGAACCGTGGACAGTGAAAAGAGGCCTCTCTGAAAGCACCTGTGCAGGTTGGTGACTGACAGTCTGGCAGTGGGTATCAGGGCAGCCTGCAGACCACCTGGGCATCACTGTGTCTGTAATGCCATGGGCAGCTTTATTGTGGTCTTGGGCAGTCATGGAGCCCTTGACCCCATGGTCCCCCATCTTCCCACTGCTGTCACACACTGTTTGCCTTTATTCAGGTTGGAATATATTAGGAGGAGACAGACTCTAGGCTTTAATGGTTGGCCACTCACTAGCCTCATGACTCTAGAGAAGTTGTGTGATGTCACTGTGCCTTTGGTATATAAGTTAGGCTGAGTTAATTACCTTCTCTGAAAAATAAACTCAAAAATCCTGGTGACTGAAAGATTAAGTTTTGTTTGGTTTGGTTTTTTTCATCCATGCCATAGTCCAGCGTGGGTCAGCAGGAAAGCTCTGTACCCTGTACTTATTTAGGAATCAGGAGCATTCTGTTGTCAGTATGCAGCTTTAAGGTTGCCCTGGCCAAGAGGAATGGGAGAGAAGGGCAGTAGACATTTCCACTTACACACACACATCACTTCCATTCACATTTTATTGACAAGAACTGTGTATTAGGCTACATGTTGTATTAGGCTGGGAAATGTGGTTTAGCTTTTTTATGCCCAAGGAGAAGAGCCTTTGGGTATAGTGAACACATACTTATCTGATAAACTTAGCCTACGTTTGAAAGGTAGTGATGATAGTTTGCATGATTGGGTTGTTTAGGAATGTGATTGCATAACAGGAGACTGCCTAGTACACTGCCTGACCCAGAGTGGCTCAGTGGAAGTTACCTATTAGTAATATTCATGTAGTGTTAATCATAAGGAATAGTGATAGCTCAGACGTTCTTCTGCACTCAGAAGACAGTCCTTTCTTTTCCTGCAGATTACTGTTTCAAATTACACTCTGCATCCCACCGTTTTTCACCTTCTCCAACCCGTCATTTATTGATCCATCCATCCATCCTTTCATTTGTGTATCAGACGCGCAGAAGCACTTCCTATTCCTGTTGTTTTCTGGTGTTCCTGTCTTATGAAACCTCAAAGTGACAATTGCTTTTGTCAGTCCCACAACTGGGCTGCCAAGGGAAGCCAAAGCCATCAAGCAGGTGGATTTGTGACATTGCAGACTCACCTTTTCGCCCCTCTAGCGTCCTTCTTGCCTGCTCAGCCAGCTTTCACTCCTCTCCCCAATTCCACATCTTCACTTGAATGTCTTAGAAGCACCTCACACTCATGCCTCAAAAGGATCGCATAATCTTCCCATTTTCAGCTAATGGCCCTTACAGTGAGTGGAGAAAGCTAAAAACAAATGTGGGCAACCCCTCAACACCTCCATCTCCCTAATACCCAATATCCAACCATCCCTGAATCTTGACCCTTTTATGTCACTCATGTCTCCTGAATCCATCACCTTCACCAGTTCCATCAGCTCCAGCATTAGTACTCTAGGCCAAGTGATTATCATCTCTTGCCTGCATAATGCTAACAGATTCCTCCCTGTTTTCCCCACATGTATCCTCTGCCTCTGGTCAGCCCTGTGTATAATATCTGCATCCACTTACATGTTCCATGTATCACCACCCGCCTTGCCACTGGTGTCAGAGCATCTAACCTACTTTATGAATAAAGGCTACACCCTTGATTTTCTTGCTCTTTGGACTTTACTGATTCATGTGCATCTGACTCATCCCTGCAGCTTCCTTCTCACTTAGGTGGAAGAGTTTTCTTCCTGGCCATGACTGATTTCTCCAATAGAATCTAGATCACACCTTCTGCCTTCTCAGGTGTACTAGCCATCTGCTGCTATTAAAATGTAACAATATCACCACAAACACTGTAGCCGAAAACCACTCATTTATTATCTCCCACCTGTAGATTGGGAGTCCAGGCAAAGCTTAGCTGGGTCCTCTCAAGCCTGTCATAGGCAGGTAATAGCTCATCATCACAGTCAGCTCACTTTTTCAAATCAAGCTACTGTATGGGACTCTAGCAAGACAGATGCTACAGTCTTAGAAAATTACGTTTATTTTATCATGTACATTCCATCATCTTTGCCATATTCTATTCTTTAGAAGCAAATCAAGGTTCTGCCAACACTCAAATGAGGGGACTGTAAAAGGGTGCGAACACCATGACTTGAGGATCATGAGAAGCCATACATGAATCTCTCTGCTGCATCAGGGAACATGCTTCTTCATTTATTTCCTACCTCTTCTCTATTTTCATCCCCTCTCATCATTAAAATAAATAATGATGTTTCTGATACTTGGGGAAACTTTTTTTTTTAATGCTCTTACCTCTCCAGCAGCATCTAAATATTGTTGACTTTGTTTCACCTGAACAACCAAGCTTGTCGGAGGAGTCTTCTCATTCTTGGAAGAGACATCTACACAAGACCTTCCTTTATTTATTTTTTCCCTTATTTTTGTACTGGGGTACAATTTACACGTAAGTGTAAAAATCATAAAGGTTCATTTCTATAAAATTTTATATATGTGCAAATCAGAGAAACTACCTCACAGGTCAAGAAATACAGTGTTTTTACCACCTAACAGGCTCCTTGTGCTCATTCCTTGTCAATATCCTCTTCTACAAAAGTAGCCAGTGTTTAGACTCTATCACCATACACTGGTTTTTAAGGCATGTAAATAGAACCCCCCAGTACATACTCTGCTCTGAGTTCTTTTCATAATCTTTATGACTCAGATTCATTCATGTGGCCGCATATAATTGGAGTTAGTTTATTACCATAATTGAATGAATAGACTACATATACCCATTTTCCTATTGACAGATATTTGACTTGGTCTCCATTTTTGGAATATTATGAAGACTAGTCTTTCGACTATTCTTTTTTTTTTTTTTTTTTTTTTTGAGACTGAGTTTCACTCTTGTTACCCAGGCTGGAGTGCAATGGCGCGATCTCGGCTCACCGCAACCTCCGCCTCCTGGGTTCAGGCAATTCTCCTGCCTCAGCCTCCGGAGTAGCTGGGATTACAGGCACGCGCCACCATGCCCAGCTAATTTTTTTGTATTTTTAGTAGAGACGGGGTTTCACCATGTTGACCAGGATGGTCTCGATCTCTTGACCTCGTGATCCACCCGCCTCGGCCTCCCAAAGTGCTGGGATTACAGGCTTGAGCCACCATGCCCGGCCTCGACTATTCTTGATTGTATTTTTTGTTGGATATAAACCCACATTTCTGCTGGGAATATACATGTAAGTGGACTGGCCAGATCATGTGTGGGCACATGATTAGCTTTAATCGAAACCACCAGTTTCAGAGTAACTGTACCATTTCATGTTTCTACCAGCCACATATGAAAGTCTTCATTGTTCCACATACACTTGAGCAGTTGTTGTCTTTCCCTTTACTCTTTGAGATAGGGTTTCACTTTGTCTCCCAGGCTAGTATGCAGTGGCACAATCTCGGCTCACTGCAGCCTCTACTTCCTGGGTTCAAGTGATTTTTGTGCCTCAGCCTCCTGAGTAACTGGGATTACAGGTACACACCACTACACCTGGCTGAACCTGTGTTTTTAGTAGAGAAGAGGTTTTGCTATGTTGGCCAGGCTGCTAACTCCTGGCCTCAAGTGATCTGCCCACCTCAGCCTCCCAAAGTGCTGGGATTACAGGTGTGAGCCACCGTACCTGGCCACAAAGGAACATTTTACATGCTTTTTCTCCTAACAACTTGTAGGCAGGAACTGAGAGTATCCCAGCCTTTCAGAAGAGAAAAGTGAATCTTAGAAAAGTGTGTTAGTCTGCTCTGGCTGCTGTAATAAAATACTATAGACTTATACAGCAGAAATGTATTTTCTGTCAGGTCTAGAGGCTGCAAGTCCAAGTTCAGGGTACCAGCATGGCTGGGTTCTGGTAAGGGTCGTCTTCCCAGACTGCAGATGGCTGCCTTCTCACTTTGTGCTCACATGGCCTTCCTTCCGTGCCTTCACACACAGTGGAAGCTCTCTGGTGTCTCTTGGAAGGGTGCCAATCCTGACAGTTCTCAGCCCTATCCTTTTATTTATTTATTTATTTATTTATTTATTTATTTTTATTTTTTTTGAGACAGAGTTTCGCTCTTGTTACCCAGGCTGGAGTGCAATGGCGCGATCTCGGCTCACCGCAACCTCCGCCTCCTGGGTTCAGGCAATTCTCCTGCCTCAGCCTCCTGAGTAGCTGGGATTACAGGCACGCATCACCATGCCCAGCTAATTTTTTGTATTTTTAGTACAGACGGGGTTTCACCATGTTGACCACGTTGGTCTCGATCTCTTGACCTCGTGATCCACCCGCCTCGGCCTCCCAAAGTGCTGGGATTACAGGCTTGAGCCACCGCGCCCGGCCAGCCCTATCCTTATGACCTCGCTGCACCTTAATTACTTTTTTTTTTTTTTTTTTGAGACGGAGTTTTTTGCTCTTGTTACCCAGGCTGGAGTGCAATGACGCGATCTCGGCTCACTGCAACCTCTGCCTCCTGGGTTCAGGCAATTCTCCTGCCTCAGCCTCCTGAGTAGCTGGGATTACAGGCATGCGCCACCATGCCCAGCTAATTTTTTTTTTTGTTTTTTTAGTAGAGACGGGGTTTCACCATGCCGACCAGGATGGTCTCGGTCTCTCGACCTCGTGATCCACCCGCCTCGGCCTCCCAAAGTGCTGGGATTACAGGCTTGAGCCACCGCGCCCGGCCCTCCTTAATTACTTTTATAACAGTCCTCCCTTTTAAGGAAACACAAACTTTCAGTCGATAACAAAAATCTAATTTGCCAAGGACATCTAGCTTGGCAGAGGTAGAATCTGTCGTTTTGTTGTTGTTGTTGTTGTTGTTTTGAAACAGTCTTGCTTTGTCATCCAGGCTGGAGTGCAGTGGTGCCATCTTGGCTCACCGCAACTTCTGCCTCCCAGTTTCAAGCGATTCTCCTCCCTTGGACTCCCAGGTAGCTGGGATTACAGGCGCACGCCACCATGCCCAGCTAATATTTGTATTTCTAGTAGAGAT